ACAACATAAACTTACCTATATACACACTTACATAGACACAAAAAAAAGTTTTGGTTTCAGCATTTACAAGAGCTTTAAGAGATCCTTTTCCTTATGCTAGATCAGCAAGTCTTGTTGCACTAGTTGGTAAATGCGAATATAGACATACAGAATTTAATTATCTAAATCTTTTGATTTTTGTTAAACATTATACGAAAAAATTTTTTTTTTAAAAAGCAACTTCCGATTATTACGATGCAACTGATTGTGCGACCAAGATATTGCCCTGTATATCATTAGTTTTGGTCGATAAAGTGAAGTCAGTTTTTACTCTACTCCATCTCTCTAAAACTTTTTCATTTATCGGACCTCTCGTATATATACCTACCTAACTTGTCTTTATTTATTTATCCATAGATCTGTTCGTCTACAAGCATTTAAAACAGTTGATGTATTCATCAAAAGATTAGAAAAATTGGTTGAATCGATGGTATATACATACATATATTAATATAAATATCATTCATTCATTCATTCATTCATTGCTCTATTAAATTATTGATTTTTATAAATCATCACATATGTAGCCTGACGCTGCAATTATTAACACGAACGTTGGCACTACTACTAATAATGGTAATGGATCATCATCAACAGAAACTACACAAAATTCTTCAATTGCATTTGCATCAAGTGTTGCGGGTTCTGCTGCTAGTGTCGCAGAAAGTTTAGCTGGATGGGCTGTAACTTCTATTACAAAAAAGGTAAACAAATGATAATAAACGGGGGTTAAATAACAAAAAAAGTATAAATTTATTGATATGGATTCCTTTTTTTCGAAATAAATAAAGATTGTAGGTGGTAATATTGATGAACCTTAACCTTATCTCTGACAAGAACATTCAGATGCATTTCATGCACTCCAACAATACCAAAATGATTTTTGTCAACATTAACACTTTCATGTACCAAATACATCCCATTGTTAGTTTCTCATCATCCATTTGTTTTTTAGGTGCTAAGTGCTTGCACTTAAAGGATTTTTTAAAATATGGTAGTAAAAATTAGTCAGTTAGAGAACCAAAAACTTTCTCAACTTAAAGAATTGGATCTGCAGCAGTGTAGTTTTTGTGGTCAGATAACAATTCTCAACCTTGGTTGAGGGGGTTTTGAGAAACTTCATTGTCAAGCTTGTCAGGAAGTTCATGTGCTTTGTCCGGAGCTGTGCTTACCAGTTGAGAACTAAATAGAAATAAAATATTTGATCTAACAAATCCTAATTCTGGTAACCCATAGTATTTTTTCTTAATAATATTACATGCTAAGAATAACAAATATTGGATTACATACCTTTACACCAAACTTATTTGATCCATTCTCCTTACTAAACTACATACCATTCAATATTCATTCAATATAATTTATTATTTCATCTTGTATACTAATGGTTCCATATGTTTAATTATCTTGATTCCCTATAGAAAATAAACATATGGAATGTACACTACCTGGACAAAAGTTTGTGAACGATGTTTTTTGTTAATTACGCAAAATACTACATAATAACAATACATAAAATTTTAATATTATACGGCCTAGGTTCTTGTTCGTTTTTGTATAAAATTTGATGTTTTTGTATTTCTAGTACTTTATTAATTAAAAAAAACCGAAAGTTGATTAAATTTTAAAATGTTTACAGTATTTTCATGATTTTTCAAAAATTTTTATAATAAAAATATTTAAAATTATATCATATAAAATTTATGGTTTTGGAGAATGAACTGTATGATTTTAAATACTTTAACGCATCTAGATTTTATTTCTTTCGTTATTTTTTTTTCTAGATCTAAATCATGATCTGCAAAAAAATTTTATTAAAATCATAAAAATGCCAAAATATGCGGAACTGACTGAACTTGACTGTGGAAAAGTTTTGGGTCTTCATCTATCTGGAAATAGTATGTCAGAAATCTCAAAAAAGCTCAAAATTTCAAAGGGTAGTGTTTGCAACATCATAAAACGTTACAAGAACTCTGATAATGTAAAAAGTGCACCTCGAAGTGGAAGACCCAAAACTTTGAATAAAGATGATCAAAAGATATTAGAAGAGATAGTAAATCAAAACAATCACAACTCTTCTGGTCAGATACGAGAAAATTTATCTGTAGCAATCAGTAAAGAGGTTTCTACAAGAACAATTCGTAGAAACCTTCATGAACTTGGAATTTACTCGCGAATTGCTGCAGTGAAACCCCTTTTGTCTGAAAAACAAAGAATAAACTGACTACAGTGGTGTAAAAGAAAAAGAAGCTGGTCCATTGCAAACTGGAAGACAGTGATTTGGAGCGATGAATCACGCTTTACAATTTTTAGGAATGATGGTCCTGGTCGTGTATGGAGAAAGAATGGTTGTCGTTATGATATTGAAAACCTTGTTCCATCAGTAAAGCATGGTGGTGGTGGGATAATGGTTTGGGGATGTTTTTCGGGAAAGGGGTTAGGCCCTTTAGTAACGGTGGAGGAAAAGATGAATCGTTTGGATTACATCAGAATCTTGGATAAAAATTTGCTGCCTTTAATTAGAAAGAAATTTCGCGATAGAAGTTATTCCTTTCAAGATGACAACGCACCTGTTCATACTGCTAAAGATGTTAAAAATTGGATGGTAAAGAAAAAAATAAATATTTTGGCTGATTGGCCCTCTCAATCACCAGATCTTAATCCGATTGAACATCTCTGGGGTGAACTTGAGAGGAGGCTAAAAAAACGTGCAGTGCATCCAAAAAATAAATTGAAATTGGAAGTTGCGGTGAAAGAAGAATGGTTAAAAATACCTTACGAAACTTTAGAAAAACTCATTGAAAGCATGCCAAGAAGAATTGAGGCATGTATTTCTAATGATGGGTGGCCCACTAGATATTAGTCAATTTTTTTCAATTTTAACTTTTTGAAGATCTTTTCAAAAAAAAAGTATTTCGTTTTTTTTTTATTAATAAAGTACTAGAAATACAAAAAACATCAAATTTTATACAAAACGAACAAGAACCTAGCCGTATAATATTAAAATTTTATGTGTTGTTATTATGTAGTATTTTGCGTAATTAACAAAAAACATCGTTCACAAACTTTTGTCCAGGTAGTGTATAAGAATTTCTTTATATTTGATATGGAATAAATTTTTAGATATGGAACAGATGTATTTAATCTAAGTTTTGAAATTTATCAATGTAATGCAATTTATGGATTATAGTGTTGTCATTAGCCTTAAGACCAAATGTTTTTGATTTGGATTTGAGGCATGCTGCAACAAAACCAGACAAAGTGAACATTTGTATTACTAAAGATTTCAAGGGTTCTAAATTTAGTCATCATCAATACAATGCAATTATTATTATGATTTAATGATTTTATAATGTCTGTTTGTTATCATTGTTTTTCATATATAAAAGTAATCAATATTGTAAGAAGAGGAATGTTCCTTTAGAATACTTTTTCTTTACATATTTAACAAATAAAGAGTGCTTACAATTTAGACAAGGCTGCTAACATTCTTGACTGAATGAGGGAAGCTGTCGATAACATGCTGGAACCTTCGGATGAGTTTAATAAAGGCTACCAAAAACCAAACAGCACTACTTGGAATAAAGTGCTAACCAATAGTGAAAGTGAAAAGTCTTTGGTCTTAATTATTGACCCAAGCTCTCTTCAACCAGATAAGTGACTTAAATGCTCTGTTTATAGTGTGGTTGATACTAGTGATATTTGTTTACAGTGATTAAGTGTTATAATAGTGAATTGTGATGAGAGGGAATTTTATGTGTGTAAGATATGTTTTTATTTGTTAGGTATTAGTATCATTACAAGATAATTATTATTATCAGATCAAAGCAAATTAGGATGAGATAATTAATATGTCAATAAATTCACATTCCATTAATATATCACAAAATAAATTATATAGATTGATTATCCAGAAGTAAGGTTGCTTGTCAAAACTCATCCAGAAATCAATCAGCAGGGTTTTGGCAGGTCACACATTAATTGTTTATTAGAGTTTCAGCAGAGTTTCGCATTTTGAGGTTTCGCCTTTCGGCATAGTTTCAACAGGA